GGGGGGGGGGCGGTATTTTCTGCCCTAAATAGACTCCCCCCTGCTTTGTGTTTGGCCCCCCTCCTCTCATCTGCTGCTCCTCCTTTGTTCCAGCTCCTTCTCGAGCAGGTAAATACAGTAATAAATACCCAAGTCTCTGAAACAGGGAGCTACTGAGCCCATGGGTGTGATGGGAAGCAGCCAGGAGCCTACAAAGGCTGTGCCTCTCTGCCCTCAAGAGACAGCGCTGCTGTATTTTCCTGTATATATTCTCTTCCTCCCTGTTGTGGCCTGTCCACTAAACTCGGCTCAATCTCAGAGCTTTGGGGGTTTTTGTATTGCTGTTGCTGCTGTTTCAGCGGCGTTTCTCCAACTCCCTCTTCCTGTTGTGTAATGAGGTTTTTGTGGTTTGACCATAGGTTTCTGAACAGCCTGGGCACGATTTTTTCCTTCGTGTCAAAAGATGCGGTGACCAAAATACAGATCATGGAGAAGTACCGCAGCAGCGACCAGCAGGAGAAATACGAGACTCTTCAGTCCATGGTGGAGTACGAGTTGGCCAACGGCCTGGTCGGCCTCAAAAACCGAGGGGAGTGCCCGGAGTCAGGCTGTCGCACCATCTTGCGCCTCCACCGAGCCCTTCACTGGCTGCAGATGTTTCTTGAGGGGCTGAGGACCAGCCAAAAGGACTCCAAGACGTCTGTGATCTGCACAGACTCGTACAATGCCTCCTTGGCAAACTACCACCCCTGGGTTATTCGCAAGGCCGCCACGCTGGCTTTCTGTGCTTTGCCCACCCGAAACGCATTCCTGGAAAACATGAATCTTGGCACTCCCGAGGAGGCGGTAGATATGCTGGGGGAAGCCTTACCTTATGTCTGCAAAGTCTATGAGATCACAGAGGAGCTGTATGCGAAGCATAAAATGCTCGACCTTCCTTGATGGGGGGGGAGAGAGGGTGGGGTTTGATTGCATTTTCTCCGTAGTGTGACTTGCAAGGACCCACGCTCCTTATCGCTGTGCACACATGTAAACTAGAACCTGCTGATATGCACTAAAGCTTGGGGTCTTTCCTCTTCTGTTCCACTGTCATCTCTCATATATTGCTAATAGACTGCAGCCAAATCTGAGTGCTTTTCTTGAGTCTCATGATAGCATCCATGTTTTGGCTGCTGTTTTGTTGAAAGAAACAGAGAGATCATTCCAAAGCTATATGATATTGCTCACGCTTCAAGGGATCCTTCGTCTCTCTCCTGTCCCCTGGGTTCCTTTCCAAACTTTATCTGATTTTTTTTTTTTTTTTTCTTCTCCTTCTAGTTCTTTAGAAAACTGGATGTAGGACCCGGAAATGAAGGATCACTAAATTTTTACCTTGAAGCAGGAATGCTGGGGAGGTCTGTTCAGCCTACTATTCAGGGACAAGGGAGAAATCCTTGGGACATACCAGGGCCTTGAATTTTGCTCTTTAGTTCAATGCACTTTTATTCCTGGGCTCTGGTAACTGTAATGCTTTCTCTTGGAAGAAGCAATTGAGCATAGATCTCCTTGAAAATTGTTTGTCATTAATAGCAGATCATTCTTACGTGTTCTCCTCTGCTTTCCCCTCCCCTCAAAAAGAGTTCAGGAGCACTGAATTGTGATAGTGTAACACAGTTGTCTCTTCGTTTCTATCCTGGCTCTGACATGCCTGCAATCCTTTTCTATTCCTTCTTTCTATCCCCTCTTGCTCTTTGCTGTTCTGAGTTGAGGAAGCAGCTTTAGTGTATGCTGCATGATACTAAACTACAAAACTGTGCAGAGTTTTATGCATTTTGAGGACTGTATATATAGACGCTGCATAACAATATAATAAGCTTGAGGAAACAAAGGGAATGCTGGAGGCTTGGAGAAACAATGTCTTGAGCTTGTTGGGATGATTGTAACTTGTGCTATGTATCAAATCAGTGTGTGCGGCTTCTTCCCCCACCTCTTGCCAAAGCTGTAATGGTTTCCAGACCAACTAAATGTTAGGTTTTAAACAAAAGGCAAATATTCATGCAAGTTCTATTGCTATTTTAGTGTGGATTCCCGTTTGCTAAAGTATAGGATAAATAAGAAGGGAAGTGTAAATAAGGCAGTGTACGTGAATTTGGAAAGCCCTGGATGTGTTTTGTATTCTGAGAGCCACTACCAATACCTGTGTTCTGAAAACCACTAAAACAAAATAACCCTAGACACTAGAATGGCTGCTGATTTATTCTGTGGGACACAGGAATTCAGTATTACCTCACAGGGTTCAGTCTAGTTAACATTGTTTTCTGTTAAATTACATAAAATAACTTGCTCCCACAGAGCGCTGTCATACAGGAATGCCTCCCACTTTCAGATGTTGGAAGGCCTGTGTGACCTTTGGTTTAATGCAGAGCACGCGGTCTTGAACGGCTGGGTAATTAGCAGCTTAGCTTGTTGATTACAAATGAGACCAAACCCTTAACTGATGTTTGTAGAAAGCACCTCTGTCTGGATGATTGGTGTCTCTCTATGGAAAACTGTTTAGCTAAGTGACTTGGAAAAGGAAGGTTTTCCTGTCTAGTGCCAGCCATCATAAATACCTCTTAACCATGGTAGGTGTGTGTCCATGCTCTAAGGAAGCTCTGTGAAATGTGTTGTTCTCCTTCCATATGAAGATTTTTGACCTTTAAAAATGCTGCTTTTGCACACAGTGCCGTGGAGCAAATTATGCATGAAGACAATCCAGGTAGCTCCATGTGCCACCTTTTAAGAAACACTCGGGGATGTTTTATTCTGTGATAGTCAGCATAAAAACTTTCTCAGTTCAGCCTCTCCTGATGAGAGGCAGCTGGTAATTTGGGGGCATATTGTGTTGCTTATTGATGGGTTTTGTGCCATGTATTGCCCGGAAATGAATGTAATGTTTGTGTTCTGCGGGATTAATACAAAGACAGCAGTTTTACCACGTACAGGTGGTTTGTTTGTTCTCCGTTGATATGTCCAAGCTAAATACTCATCTTGTCAGACCAAAAGTTTAAGGGCAGGAGTTGAAACATAACTTACTTGCCTTGTTTTTTCCCATTAAAGTCGGCCTGTCGGTGCTACATCTCTGTGTGCTGTTTATATTAATTCCCCTTTTTTATTCAGGGTAGGCGGTTTATATATTGGGCTGCTTCAGAAATGCACCCTTACAAAAATACACAAGGCAAGCTCCTGGCTGCCGTCTCGGTAACATCTCTAGCCCGCTCCTCTGTGCGTGTGCTGCTAAATGAGAACTGCACAGCTTTCAGCACTGCAACTGTCCTTTGCTTGCTGCACTCTGCCACTTGTCTAAGATCTCTTGGCCACTTCAGCTCCCCTTGCCTCTGTTCATAATTGCTCATTAATGGTGGAGCCTGGCAATTGGTGCAGATCCCCACTGACTTCTGAATGTGGCTGTCTGCAGGTCAGAGCCCAAGCCTACCAGAGGGTTTGGTGGCCCACTTTGAAGCAGGGACTGTTGCACAACAAGCAGAGCTACAACTGCAGGGATGAGTGCTCCTTTTTAAAGTCAGGTTGCAATGAGAAATGCAGAACCCTTAGTTCAGAGATGATAAAAAGGTAAGTCACAAAAAATTATTAGATCCAAAAAAAAAAAATTTGGTTGCAATGAGTGCACTAGTACACCAGAGGGAGCTTATTAGCTGAACATTTTGGAAGAGGAGGCTGAAGAACTGAGCAGCTATCTGCTGCTTCTGTGCATGTTGCCCTTGAATCAGCCACGTGCTAAATTACTCCTGCTCCCCCACAAGTTTGTGCTTAGTCTTCAAGTCTACCTTGCACACTTGAACCATGAACTCTGATTCACACTGCTCCTGTTCCTACCTTTGCACCCTGGACTTTTCTTGAAGGGGCAACAATGGTTCAAAGAAACCTCAGTAAGGAGCTTGCACTGCTGCCATCAAGCAGTGTACAATAACTTCCCCTTCAGCTCAGGAAGCCTACAATTTAGTTTGCTCTCACAAGATGAGACAACACAGGAATGAACCCAACATCACGTCCCTAAACCACGTAAGGAAAGCAGCGTTTCAGTCCAGAAGCGGAGACTAGTGCCTCTGCTTTAATACCAGGGCATAAATAAAAGCTGAGCAAATAAAAAGAACAGTGGACCTGGGGGCTAAGTCCAGAGGTTCTCAGTATGATCAGTCTTACCGTGATGTGAAGCCGATGGAAAAACCTCGGTCCTAAAGTTGATGCACTGGCATGCTCTAAAACATACCGTATTATTTCCATTACAGATGTAGCAATGCCATAGGAGAGAAATATGCCCAACATCTCTTGTAAAAAATAGCAGCACCACTTACTTTCCCACTGCACAGTGAAGCTGCCTGCCCAAGCATATTCCAGCAACAATCGAGTGAGGTTCAGAAGTCCGTGGGCCGCAGTCTCCTAGACGTAAAGAGAAAAAGTGTTTGAGATTCCTCCTGCCTGTGACTGTAGCTCCTACCCTGACCCTGGGTCACTGAGTGCATCAATCTACCGCTCTTTTAAAAATAAACCTCAACCATATTGCACTGCAGGTCACCTTTACGTAGAGTTTTTTTCCCAGTGCAATTTGAAAACCAGCAAAGGCTGCGACATAGGGAGCTTTAGCTGCAAAATGAGTCTTTGTGCCTTTGGATGAATAGGCTCAAAGAATCTGGGGATGGGAGAATAAATTCGGTACCTTGGGAAGAACTTGAAAGGTTGTGGACTAATAGGTCCCAATGAGAGTGAATAGCCAGGATGAGGAGAGAGCATCTGTAACAGGAGAAACGCGCAGTGCGTCCCTGGAGAAGCTGGCTGCACTTAATGGCAGTATTTAATGTTTGACTCCATGTCTTCACAACAACTATTTTA